TTTCCTGTGGAATGGCATTACTCATCTATTTAACAGATGTTCACAAAACGCATACTAACTGCAGGGTGAGTCTAGCAGGGCCTTTACCAAGTTACCCCACGCGCCCGGGAAGGCCAGCCAGCCGGCCGGACTCACACTCCTTCCGGATGAAGCCCTGTCCGTACATCGCCTCCACAAAGACAAAGTCACTGTAGATGGAGCGCTCCAGCACCACGCCTTGCCCTATGTAAAAACATGGAAACAAACATCAAAACTCAGATAGTAATTAAAGCAACGAAAACTAGCCCTTTCATTTCAGAAAGGGAAAAAATTATTTACAATTCCATTTCCAAACCAAATAGTTTCAAAAGAACATACTTGCACTTCTAAGTGGGAAATCATTTTCAAAACTACAATACTTTTTTGGTTTTGGCGATACAGTGTTGTTTCATTCTTTCAGTCCTGACAAAAGCATCCGGCTACTACAGAAAGGGATTTCGTTTTGGAACCACAGGTCCTGCCCCGCGCCCCCCCACCCGTTCACTGCAACCCTGCCCCCATCCCAGATGCTCAGTAAGACCCCCAGGGCGTCCGCCCCACGCCCACCACCATGGATCTCAGAGAATCCATGATCTTATTGGAAAGCCAGAGCTTGCCTCATCAAATACCCTTTAAAAAAAGCTCTAATGAGCAGCAATCTAAAACGACTGCATTTCAGAAAAGGGTTCAAGTGCAGCACACGCCCGACAGCTGCCCAACCACAGACACCGCACCTGTGCTCAGCATGTGCTCCAAGGCGTCCGCGTACTGCAGGAGGCGACTGGCGTACAACCAGGACTGCAGGCGGTAGCTGTTGCCATCATTACTTTTCGGGTCATCGTAAAACTTCTCCAAACTGCAGTTGCTGCTGAGCTGTATGTCCAGGGGTTTCCCATCCCCAGTGGTGCTGGCTGCATAATGGATCCCTGCCTCGGGAAAGTGCTTCAGGCCTGAGGAGAGAAAGAACCGGACAAAACATGATATGGGCATGGCGCATCCCACCAGCAAGCGGCGGAGATGCATCAGAACACCATTGCTGAGGCCGGTCGGTGAAGACCTGGGGAAAGTTACCCTGACACCTGTGTTCTTGGTGCGTGAAAGGGAGCACACGAGACACGGAAGTCGACATGTCTGAGGCATGTGTGCAAGGGCAGCGTGAAGCTCCAGGGCTGCACGGCAGCATTTCCCACTGTACCGTCGTATGAACTCCTCCTGAGGAGAGCTGCCCCTGAGCGTGGGTGCCCACTGCATGCAAACACGCTTCGGCTTGCCAAATACTAGAGAACGGCACGGGGACGACGCCGGCTCCAGAGTCGGGAAACGGGGTGGACGCCTGGCCCCACACAAAGCAGCCTGTGACCCAGCTTCTTACTGAGGCTGCCCGTCCGTAAGTGAGAGCAGAACGTCAGCCCTGTTTCACGGGCTGTTACACAGTTCAAATGAGACTGCTCCTGTGAAAGTGCTCTGCTTACATGGTCAAGATAAAATCCCAATTCAAACTGACAACCAGCATGGACTTCTAAAATTTTCCAAATCTGAAAGACTAAAAACAGCGTTTTCAGTAAATATTTCAAAAGCGTAAAATACCTACCTTAGGCGCAATTCTACCTACTCAATATTAAAGTAAAATCCAACTCAGATAAGTAACTGTATATCTGAGAAAATCGTGTTACTCTGCAGGACACAAGTTCATACCTAGCTTCTCTGCTATTTCTTTTGCAAGCTTGCCTTTCCCCGAACATATGTTGCCATCTACAGTTATCACTTTGCTCTTTTCTGTCAGCCTTTTGGTCGTTCTTTCACCAAGCAGGTATGCCAGGGGGCCGTACTGCAGCTTGCACTGGACACTTGTATGAATTCCTCCCTGAAAAACAACACATCATAACAACAGCACAACGTGAGCATTCTGGTCACCACAGGCACCAGCAGCTATTAGGTAAACATAAATGCCAAGAAGACCCTTGGTGACAAAACAGCCAACATCGACCTCTGTATAACCTATTTGTTGAATTACTGCCTCTCAGCCCCACCCCCAATGTAAGTTCATAAAGGCAGGGGATTGCCTGCTTTGATCACTGCTAAATTCTCAGGGCCTGGAACAGGACACACTTACCACGTTCAATAAAAATTGGATGGACGGATGACAGAAAGGCAGGAAGGAGGGGTAGGGGGGGGACAGGGTGGAAGGGGATAAAGTGCAGGCTCCTGTCCTGAGCTCTGGAATGGGTTATCTCAGGCCTTTAAACAGCTCCTGATGTCCTAGGTGTCCTGAAAGTACCTGAAAGCTAACAGACCTAAAACTGAAATTTGGCATCTGCACCCCAAGCCCCAATCTGCTCCCCTCACAAGCTCCCCATCCACCATCCACCAAGCAGAACAGAGCGAAGCCACGAGTCACCTTTGATACCCTCCTCCTTCCTCCAACTCCATAATCACACAAAACCCCACTGATCCTAATCTGAAGTCTCTCTGGCCAGTGGCCCCTCCCCACCCCCCGCGCACCGATTCTGCGACATCCTCATGTCTCTCGTCTGCAACGCAAATGCCTGCTCTGCCTCCTGTCTCCAGTGTCCCAATCTACTCTCCACACTGAAACTCAAACAACCCCTATCCCTGAAAAACAAAACAAAAAACCCCATGGATCAGCAAGGGGAGGAGCTGGAATGAGCTATGCAGTACCGCATTAGAGTTACAGACACAGTACAAACTCATGTTTAGTGGACACAGAGAAATACTTATAGATGTGGGTATGTACACAGGTTAGTATAGTACATTTCCTTGTTCTGTCTGCTGAGAGGACCTAGAAGCAACAACACTCCAAGATCAATTACATGGAGTACCTAGGTCTTGGTTTCTAATGCCATTCTCCAGTAAAAGGAACAAGGGCTCCTCAGAGAAATGGTTGATTCTATGACTACCAGCTTGCCAGGCCAGGTAGTAAGGAAGTGCTCCAACATACACCATGAGGGGCAGGATACAGGACCCACCTGAAAGAGCTCCCAATGGCCACAGCTGGAACGGTCTGAGCAACAAAGTAGAGCTGTACTGAATTTTACCCCAAAATATAAAATAAATATACACAAGTCCATACTGGCATAAATAAATAAATGCGGAGAAGAGACAAACCTCCCATAAAGAATTCCAAACAATTTATGTGGCTACTCTGCCTTCGAGGAAGGGAGCCTAATCCCCCACTCCCTGTGTGCACGCAGTGACTCCCCTCCAACGAGGACACGACAGAAAGGGGGAAAAGCAAGAGTAACTTCACAGCAGAGACACTACCGCTACCTCAGCCAGGTGACCAAGGTCCTCAGTGATAAGTCATGCTCACGGTGTACCTTTCATATTGTGTGATGAGAACAGCACTTTGCCTCTGTGCTCTTCCTCCTAAGAACACACAGCCCCAGTCAGGTCACGAGAAAATATCAGACGGGTCCCACTGAGGGACAAACTACCCACACAGTACTGCTCAAAACTGCCAAGGTCATCAGAAACAAGGAGAATCTGAGAAACCACCGCAACCAAGAGAAGAAAACAGGAGGAATGATACGTATCAAAACGCTCATAGAAGTAACACCTGCAACAACAAACAACTGGAACCAACCAAAGGTCCATCGACAGGAGACCAGGACAGTAAATGGCAGGATATTCTCTATATATTCCAAAACTCTCAAATCCCAACAACTGTGAATACCTAATTTACTCAGTTGCAACTGTGTGTCATTCACTCATTCATTTATTCATTCAGCAACTGTTTATTAGATTCCCATACTATGCAGTCTTTTTTCTAGACGATGGGGATACAGCAGTGAGCCAAAAAATTCCACAGGATAACAAAACAAGTAATTATACAGCATATTAAGTAAGTGCTGTGAAGGGGAGGGCGGTTTACGGGATGGGATGTACGTTAAAACGGGTGGTCACGGAACCCTCGCAGAAAGAGTGACATTTGAACCGAGACTGGACGGCAGTGAGGGAACTGGCCACGCGGCTACCTGGAAGAGGGTCTCCCTCTCGGGCAGGGGGAACAGTAAGCGCCAACGCCCTGAGGCGAGGTCAGCAAGGCCAGTGTAGCTGCTGCCAAGTGGACTGGGGGCAGGAAGAGCAGATGAGATAAGTGATGGGGTGTTAATCATATTGGTACCCTGCACCCCAGACGTTAATCACTCTCTCCTCCAGGTTACCTCTGAGCCATGTGCAAACTGTTTCCCATCTGTGTCCCCAACTTGAATATACCTCAGATGTGGCACACGGCAGGTGCACAGCGATATGTGAATAAAGCAATCAACTATTCTCTGACTTCACATCTTTAGAAGGTGCTTTTTTATGGTTATGATAGCCTCTCTATTATTTCCCATCCTCAGTCCCATTCTTCTGCTCTCTGGAATCACAGGGAATAAGTGATCTTTCACGACACATTTCCAATTCCTTCAATTATTCCAAGTAACAAGCTGTATACCCTTTTCATCTTATTCATTTTTCTCTGGACCTACTGAAGTCCATCTACATCCCCTGTAGGGAGTAGCGTCCAGAGGTGAACACAGTTTTACAGGTGAGTCCACCGAGTGTGTGCCCGGCAGCCCCCTCTACTCTGGGGCCCTCACGTTCACTAATGTCTGGGTGTTACAGACAATCACCTTTTTCCCTCTTTCATCCTTTCTCTCCTTCTATTTTGCAGCCCGAGTTATCTCCTGAAAACATTTATATGACTTTTTAATAAGGCTATTGTACTGTTCTGTTCAAAATCCTTTGCCCATCAAAATCCTGAGCACAAAGGTCAAGTCCCTTTACAGTTCGACACCAACGTTGCTCCAGCCACTAGTATCCAAAGGATTTATGATACAGTCACTGTCATAAAATAGCTTTCCTAAGGGTTTCCAGCCACAGTTCATTTGCTTGTCTTGTTGAATCCGCGTACAAAGTCATTCCAACTGTCTGGACCATAAGAAGTTCTCCTAATCCTTCCAGATCTAACCTGAACGCCTTCTGTCGTTTCTGCTCGACATCACATCGCCCCTTACCTGGCCCTTGACAGCGCTGCCACATGAACTAATGAATGAATGAGCGCCCCCAGGCTCTCGGGGCTCGCCCACACCAGCTCATTTGTCTATCGCACAATCGCACTGGGTAATGATATCTGCAACCTGGCCTCCCCAAGCAGGGCGGCCAGGCCGCCTATTCCCCTCCGGGCCCCACGTTCCGCTCGGAGCTGACAGAAAACGACCTGGAGAAGCTCGCGGCGGCCCTTCCGAGGCCTGCCCTCGCGGCTCACGACCAAACACCCCAGGGGACAGTGGGATCTCCCCCGAGAATGACGCCGGGAGGCCCGGGGAGGTGAGGAAGGGGCGGCGCCAGGAGGACAAGCCAGGTCCCACCCGCGGCCCCCGCCCGCCGCCGCCTCACCACGCGCTGGACGACCGCCGCGAGGCCCCGAGAGGTCGCGGACACGGGGACCAGTCTCAGCAGCCTCAAGGCCATGGTTCCGCGGTCAGCACCGGCTCAAGGACCCGAGGGGACGCAGTCGCTACGGGGCCCCTCCCACGACCGGCGCGCCACAGTGACGTCACGGCCGGGATGCCCGCGCCGCGCCTGTCGGGAACTTCCGGGCGGCGGACGCAGGCGCGCAGAGCGCAGCCGGGGGCTGATTTACTTCGGGGCTCCTTTGGCGTTCGCCTACTGTGGACCTTGTAGTTCCCGCCCGCCGTCCGGGCTCCAAGGGGAGTGTCTCCCGCCGCCCAGGCTCTAAGGGGAGGCCTGCCCACTGCCCGGTTTTGAGGGCGCGCAGTGCGGGGAGCCGAGGCCGCCCCAGACCTCGTAGTTCCTGCTGCAGCACATCCCGCGTCCAGGACGCTCCCCACCCTCCCAAACTCCCTAGACCGGCAGGCGCGGACTTCAAAACCACCTCCTTGAAAGTGTCTCCATAGCTCACAAACCACCCGAGGCTAGGAAGGCGGCCTGGGGCTGGGGGCGGGGGGAAAGGAGGGCCGATGTGAGAGCGACCCAGGACGAGCGCGGGCGTCCGAGAGGCTCTGAGGAAGGACCGTAGACTGACCTTCCTGACCCACGGCGCTTGTCCAGCAGGGCCGGCCTGGCTGAGGTCCGCGCAACCTCCACCTCCCCAGGGCCCATCTCCCCGCCTGGCTCACGACTCCAGGTCTAAGAGGTCTCATACCCCTTGGCGGGCCTGGTGATGTCAACACCTTGAGTAACATGCAAACAAAAGCTGTCCTCATTCCCCCGTTAAAACCTCAATCGATCCAATGACCTGGGGCCTCAGTTCCTTTCAGGTTAGTAAGTGACTTTAATGTGAGATTTCTTACCTACCAGGCTGCCATTTGAAAAGGCTTTATGATCCTCACTCTCCTCGGGCCTATTGTTTTTAACACCCTAACTTTTCTTTTGTTTAAATTTCATTTGGTTTTCAACTTTTCAGAATGAGCATGGAGTTGTAAAAACGAAGGTCCCTTCAATGGCTGTTTCTCTAATAAGAGAATCCCTGCTTGTCCAGAATACAGATTCCTAGTCCCCAGTGCCAGAGGGTCTGATTTAGAAGATCTGGGATGGGCCCTAAAATGTGTTTAACAAGCTTCCAGCTAATTCTGATGTAAATGAGCCACATTGTTCTACACCCTGCGTTGTCTGGCAGCATGGGCCACTTCGAGATCCTACACCACTGTGCCCCCAGCCCCAAGCAAAGCTCCTAACACATCACAGGTGCACCTCAAATACAGTTGGATGAGCGTGTATGACCAGGTAGCCCTAAGTCATCCAGCCCTGTGGAATCACCCGTATTACCCAAGGCTTGGCTCCACATTCTGATATGTCTGAGAAGCTCCGTGTCCTTGCCAGCGCATCTGAGAAGTCGGGGGTGGGGGTGGGGTGAGGGTGGGGACACCTCCCTCTCAGACTCTCTGGCCTTGTGTCACTGTCCACACCATTCGCATCTTCCCTCCAGCACTCCGGTTGTCTTTCCTGCTTCACCCCAAGCAAACACACATCCTTCATCTCACTTCCCAAGACAAAGTTCCGTGTTTAACAACTTTTACTGATGACCTAGCGAAAAAGGGAGAGCGATCCGAGTAGGAAACAAAATAACCTTAAATTAAATATTGGACATCACTGTCCTAGGACTAGGGAAAG